CGGGAGACAAGCATGGGTTGCTGAAGACCAGTTCTAACCCGGATCTTCACGGGAGACAAGCATGGGTTGCTGAAGACGAATTCTAACCCGGATCTTCACGGGAGATAAAGCATGGGTTGCTATAGACCAATTCTTGTCCGGAGCTTCACGTGTAGGCACTGTGAAGGCTCCTATTACTTCATCGTTTATAAGACCTGAATACAATGGGTATCTGAATGTGAAACTCTTGTGTACATGACAGCCAGTGGTTTTGGTCGTTGCTAACGCTTCCAGTCACTACCTTGTCTAGATTCGGTTTACTCCAGATAATGTTGTAATTATCGGAATGTCGCATTGAACAACATTCCCTCACTTACTCCTTGAAGCTCATGTCTCGGTACCAGTGACTACTTTGATGAATACCTTCTTACGGGAAGTTGGAGAGAATGAGTATGGCTTTACGACCTTTTTAGAAATATTCCAGCAATATCGCCACAGGAGACACCAGACATGAGCTTCACACGTTATGCTCATATTAGACACACTTCAAGGTCGGTGGGACAGGCAGCTCTTACCATAGAACCTTGATAGGTACCTTCTTACAGAAACATATAAAGACATCATACGCACTGGACAGACGTTAACCTTCTAGAAGCGTATTAGACATAGATGGTGACTTCCTGACTGCGTATTGGACATAGATGGTGACTTCCTGACTGCGTATTGGACCTAGATGGAGACTTCCTGACAGCGTATTGGACCTAGATGGTGTCTTCCAGACAGCGTATTGGACATAGATGGTGACTTCCTGACTGCGTATTAAACCTAGATGGTGACTTCCTGACCGCGTATTAGACCAAGATGGTGACTTCCTGACCGCGTATTGGACATAGATGGTGACTTCCTGACCGCATATTGGACATAGATGGTGACTTCCTGGCCGCGTATTGGACATAGATGGTGACCTCCTGACCGCGTATTGGACATAGATGGTGACTCCCTGACCGCGTATTTTACCTAGATGGTGACTTCCTGACCGCTCATTATACTTTGATGGTGACTTGTTGACTGCGCATTGGACATAGATGGTGACTTCCTGACTGCGCACTGGACCTAGATGATGACAGACCGCGTACTGGACCTATATGGTGATCGCTTCTTGACAGCGTATTGGACATAGATGGTGACTTCCTTACCGCGTATTGGACCTAGATGGTGACTTCCTGACAGCGTATTTGACCTAGATGATTACTTCCTGACTGCGTATTGGACCTAGATGGTGACTTCCTGACAGCGTATTTGACCTAGATGGTGACTTCCTGACAGCTTATTGGAAATAGATGATGACTTCCTGACTGCGTATTGGACCTAGATGGTGACTTCCTGACAACGTATTGGACCTAGACGATGACTTCCTGACTGCGACTTGGATCTAGATGGTGACTTCCTGAACGCGTACTGGACCTAGATGGTGACTTCCTGAAAGCCTATTGGACCTAGATGGTGACTTCCTGACAGCGTATTGGACCTAGATGGTGACTGCCTGACCGCGTATTGGACCTAGATGGTGACTTCCTGTCCGCGTACTGGACCTAGATGGTGACTTCCTGACTGCGATTTGGATCTAGATGGTGACTTCCTGTCCGCGTACTGGACCTAGATGGTGACTGCCTGACCGCGTATTGGACCTAGATGGTGACTTCCAGAATCTTCTCGATTTGCTAATATACTGATGCACAGTTTATAGTTTATTTTAACCAGATCTGCATTGCCGATTAAAAGAATATATTATGTTATCACATAATTACAATGGCAAACATCCTGAATATCTTTATACATGATTTGTCTGTGTTGATTGTATAATGAACACTTGGATCTGTGACAAAATGTTTAGTCCCTAATGGTGACTTCTCGTTGATGGATGCCCTTTCAACTGCACATGGATTAACAGTGCTACAGTATGAATACACTATTCCAATTAGGTAGAGGTCAAATGTAACACTAACACATGTTAAATTTGGGGTTGCATTTTCTCAGTAAAGTACAGACTCTAGTACTTAGTCCCATCCGGGAGGAAGTCGCATTGGCTGAGCGGGTTAGATGGCTGAGTTGGTGTGCTGGCGATTAGGCCCCTGACTCTGAGGGTGTGGGTTCGAATCGAGGATGGTACTCAACACCAAAAACGTACAAGAATCTGTACTTTACTGAGAAAGTACTTTACAGATATGTAGTAATATTCTGAGATGCACGAATCTTAGTCATTACTGAACCTATGTCTGGTCTCACTGAACCTATGTGTACCTTTAATGGAATATGACCCGTCGGTACCAATATGACTGTCGGTTTAATGACCCGGCGGAATATGATCCGTCGGTACCAATATAATATGACGCCGTCGGTACCAATATGATGATATGATCCGTCGGTACCAATATGACCCATCGATCCGTCGGTACCAATATGACCCGTCGGTACGTGTGTGGGAAACCGATCTCAGTTACCCTGTACAGGGTATAGCATCTTCACACGCAGCATCAGCAGCCACTTTGAGCCTTTTATCTGCGTATCGAGATAAACTATCTAGACCCCGTCCTTTATCTACTTAAGCAACACTCTCTGACATTATGGGGAAGACAAGAATGCTAACAACAAGCTGTTGTAACCAAATTTGATGTGAACGTTAGCATAATGAGGCTAATGCTTGGTTACATTTCACAAATCAATCCTGTCTATTACATTACAGCCTACAAATCTAGTTACCTCGGTTTAGCGGACTCTCGAGTTGTGTTGTCGTGTCGTGTTACCGCGACGTGGTGGTAGCCGTGCCGAGACGGGCAGCTTGTTTGCGGCACGGACGTGTGATCGTGTTTCACGCCTTGAACGGATATGTAATCTCATCATACTCTCATTTAATGGAAGGAGCGATGGGGTCAACTTGTGTTAGTACCAACTTAGCTGAATATCACCGCATTTTGTCATTTGTGTCAGAATAAGCTGGCAAGATATTCACAGATAGCAATAGTGTTTCTTTTGTGATTCCTTAATGCATATTACCATAAGCGTTTGACTGTTTTCAGCTTGGAAGATTGGCATGTATTTCCACATATTATCGACACCAGACTGTATCAATAGGGATAAACTGTGTTTATTATCATTGTGCCACACATTAGAATTGTATCAATACACATCTTTGGGACAGAAACTGTAAAGCGTAAGTAGTCCCTTACAGACGGAAACCTGTCTTCAACATCATGGGTTCCGCTACCGATAGGCGGCCAGTCTAACGTTTCCCCGAGTCATCCTGGTGACCCGGACAGTTGTACTGCCTTGCACACAGTCTGACTCACATTGTGTGAAATATATAGTGCTCGGTCTTCCTGAATAGAATAATATGTACTGCCTTTACCCTGTGAGTAGGATAATATGGATGGGCCTCAATTTGTCAGGGAGATAATATAGATGGGCCTCACCTTGTAGTGGGGTAATATAGATAAGCTTCGCCTTGAGAGTAGGATAATATGGATGGGGTCCTCAACTTGTCAGGGAGATAATATAGATGGGCCTCACCTTGTAGTGGGATAATATAGATAGTCTTCACCTTGAGAGTAGGATAATATGGATGGACCTCATCTTCTGAGTAAGATAATATAGATGGACCTCATCTTGTAGTCGGATAATATAGATGAGCCTCGCCTTGTGAGTTGTGACAGTGCGATGCGTACTGATCATCTTTAATGAAGGATTATACATCCCGACCTGCTCTTCTGAGTAGGATGACCTATTCTGACTTCACCTTATCAGCAAGAGATAGATAAATGAGTCATGTATGCCTTTGCCAATATGCGTGTATTTGACAGTATCCCTAATGTACAAAAACGTGACAATACTGGCAGTGGGCAGGGAAGTGGCTGTTGAGGTGGTTGCCCATAACGCCCTGAGACGGCGGACATGACGGCTGCTGCCAGGCTACGTGGACATGAATCAGCTGTCAGACTGTAACCTGGCAGACAGCCTTGTCTGGACGCTGTCTGATCCCCTTGTTGACTTTGACAGACATCAAGGTCACGGACCATGGAAAGTGAAGGAGCTAACTCAGATAGTGTGTACACGTCTACTTAATTCTCTTCCCGCTAGTGTTCTCTCTCCTACATGACCTTTTAGGTGTCTGTGTTTTCTCATAGAGATGCAACCAAATATTTTTGACTAGGTGACTATAAAATGTATCTTTAAAGCAAGCGTTGATAGCAGAGATTTCTTATGGATGTGGAAAGGGTTTTGTCGCTTCTATTGAAAATGTCATACTCACCATTAAAGAGAATGTGTTCATCTAAATCTGATATTGCCATAAAATTGGCTGAAACGTCTTCTTTATGCAGCTAAATTGCAATGTACAGCAGGGAGAAGCTGTTTTTACACATGCACTTCAGAGTACAAAAACTGCAATATCTGGCTGAGGAGCAATAGCTATTGCGTGATGAAAACCTGGTCGATCCCCGGTTGGCCATGTGTCTAGGTTTATCAGCACCACGCCGTGTTTGGGATGGTTCACCACAGCGGTAGACGTCTGAGCACTGAGCCATTTTACAATGTCAGTTAAAAAAAGTGTTCAAACCAATTGAGGAACCCATATATTCCGCGAAAATAGCACCCAGCGTCGATATATTGCTGTAATTCTGTCACTACAGGGTTACGATACAGCTCTACCATTCACCCTCTCGTGCTTATAGGAGTGGTGGTGTAGCCTAGTGGTTAAAGCGTTTGCTCATCACGCGTATGACCCGGGTTCGACTTCTTACATGAGTACAATGTGTGAAGCTCATTTCTGGTGTCACCAAAAGTGATATTGCTAGAATATTGCAAAACGCGGCGTAAAACCATATTCACCCGCTCTTGTCCCCATAGGGGCACTTGGAAAATACATCAAGATAGTATTCTCCAATAGTTATATTAGTGTATTTTGTGACTGAATTGATTGCTGTACTAGATATTCACATGACGTATGTTGTTTGTACTGTTGACAGCCTTCAACCGGTCCGCCTACCCCTACCTGGCATCAGAGCAGCAGCTGATGAGGGATCTCCTGGATGACTACGAAGCTTCAGTGAGGCCAGCAGAGAACGCCACGGAACCAATACAGGTGTCCCTCGGAATCATCATCGTCAAGATCCTCGACCTGGTCAGTCGCATCTTCATAAGGCATCTCTGCCAGAATAGTAATCTTCATACACATTTCTAAGCCTGACTGTCCTGTCCTTTGAGTGACATCTGAGAAAGGTTCAAGGAGACACTAGAATTGGTCTCAGACAACATTTAACTGAGTGATACATTGCTCAGTTGTGGATAGGACATTACAAGAAAACAAACGCATTGCTTCAGACTTAAGATGTATGCTATAATTTCAAAACCTTAGCATTTATATATTCCAATTTCGTAATTTGAATATGTTAGACATTAAGAAATGAAACATATCTAAATAACTGTGTTTTGACAAGAATATCTACTGTTATAAGTTTGTGCGATGTGCAGACGGCTGATGGCCAACAATAATAGCAACAGTGTACAACTTATTTTCAAGCAATATGATATATAAAGGAATATGGATATATAAACATCAACGATCTCGATATAAATTCTCTCCAAAAGGATTTCATATCCCCAAGAAAAGGTTCAAGATTATTCTATGATAAATTGAAAATGTGAAACCTTATATGGGAAACAAAAAATGGGAAACATTATTTGACTGTATTGATTTTGATTGGCTTTATGATATTTGATATTTGCAGAAAGAATTTAAGAGATGTGAAACTGTTAGATTTTCAATAAAACTTTCTGCACGGAATTGTTTATACAAAAAAAGATCTTTCCATAATGAATCTTGTTGACAATTACAATATGTTCTTTTTGTAATGTTTCTGGTGAGACCCTATGCCATGTATATTGGGGATGTGATGAAAACTTTCTGGAAGGAACTTCAGCAGTGGATTACGAAAAGTATCCAAGCACTTAATTTGACAAAAACTTTGATCTGGTTTGGCTTTTTAGGTAAAAACCCATTACTGAATCACATAACTTATCTGCTAAGAGGTATATTTACACTTTCTCTCTGAAATATTTTTTTTCCAAAAGTTGATAATTACTTATATTGAAAGACATATTCACCACTGAAAAATTCATTTCCAGAAGAAATAATAAAGTTGAAAGCTTTTCAGCAAAATGGTTTCCTCTCATCCCGGAATTTAATCGTAAATGACTATTTAACCAAAACATATTACTGATATTGATATTTAATGTACTATATCTCATCTGAGCCCACAAGCTGTTTTGTACACATAGTCCTCTATATGCTTGTATTCATCGTATTGGGAACAATAAAATAAAAAACAACTTATTTTCAAGCATAAACATTTCAGTTCCAACATATGTGTACCTCGAGCTCCCGAAACATGTCGATGAATCTGTATCTGTAAAATAAAAAGTAAAATAAACAATATTTGAAACAAGAAATGATACAAGTGAATATGAAATGTGAAAATACTTGATGAATATTGTGATTTTATTTTTTAACCGTTCCAAGAAAACTTCGCAGTTTGGTTTGGAGTTCAGAAATATAGTCTGCAAAATCTTTCATTTGTCGATGTTTCAAAACACAAACTCAACACACTGAGAGGTAATTGTGTTTGGTATGTGTTCAACTCACGTTGTTGGGAGTGATTGGAGAATTGTGTCAGGCGTGTGTGGTTGATTCTGACAATGGTCTGTCTATTTCAGGACCATAAATATCATTACAACCAAGAGCTAAGTTCTGACCCGGTTGCAAGGATCATGTGACCGGCATAAATACGGCAAATCTACCGGGCATCGGGTTCTGTTGGTAATATAACTGAGGCAGAGGAAATAGCCTTGTATAACATGTAGGTGCCGTAAGGTCGTCAGGACTAGCTAAGATGATAAGCCTGGCACCGAAACATTGTTATCACACTTCATGGTAAGATCGTCGACATTGTTGTTACCTCGAGTCATCCGTCTTGTGGTTACATTGACCTTGCCAACAGCGTCACTTAACGAACAGGGGCGGGGAAGTAGCCGAGTGGTTAAAGCGTTTGCTCGTCACACCGAATACCCGGGTTCGATTCCACACGTGCTTACAATGTGTGAAGCCCATTTCTGGTGTCCACGGCCGTGATATTGCTGGAATATTGCTGAAAGCGACATAAAACCAAACTCACTTACTCACTTAACGAACGTCACGTGTCATACAGTTTCCAGTGCAGAAAGACTTCATAGCGGGAGTTCGGATTAACAAAATACCGGGTGTTTATAGGATATTTACAGCAGTCTGTTATATATGAAACTCTTATGGTGCTTGAAAGTGCGTGAAAGGTCTAAGAGGTATTGGTCAGTATGTTTGATGTGTGGTAGCTTTGGGTGGCTTCCATAACTGACGGGGACGATGACGTGCAGTGTGAGATAACGAGATCACGTTGAATCTGTGTGCAAGAGCCTGTAAAACGGGTCTTGATAAGGGATAATGCTCAGCTTAATTATGCTGACCAACTAAATATATTTGCTTGCCGTAGGTTTTGAGCGTAGTACATCTGGAGAGTATTTCATATACAATGTAGAATTTGGTTGACTGAGAAGACAACGAGAAAAGAAACATGATTAAATAAGAGGCTACAAGGGTTGTATCGCATTGTACAATTGTATAGCACTCACAATTCACAACAATAGTGGAAAACTATCACAATGTTCATAGATTCGATTGTTTGAATGGTGTCGCATGTTCAGGATATCTAATCTTACTGTCCAGGATTTAGCACCACAACAAGTAGTAACAGCCCTCCTATTGATCTTATATAAATAGGAAGAGTCAGCTTTCAGAAATTGTACCAATTGAGCAAAAACGCCAGTAGAGGTACCGCCAATCACACTATTTATTTTTGCTCAACATTTTACCAGCGCTTCAATCATTTGCTGCCACTGCAGTCACGACAAGACGACTCATGAACAATATGTGACATATTATGTTTGGAGATTTAATAGGTGCGCAGAAGGATAGATCTATATCCTATATCTATAATTAATCTGGTATTATTTTGTTCTGCACTTTGAAACGTCATAGGCAATGTTAGAAGATCTGGTGGTTTTGGTGAATGTGTAAAATGACGGTAAAATGAAGGCATTTTATTAATTGTCTAAGTGAATCATGGTTTGCGCATACACGCCTACAACGAAAAGGATAGTTAAAAAGCGACTTATTATTATCTGTTTTGCATCAAAAACAAAAGTCAGTAATACCAGGCAGTTACCTTGTTCCAGGATGGTATCCATCAATATCCACAAAGAATAACACAATCTGCACCCGACAAAGAAACGTGTTCCATGTCTGTAAATGTATACAATGTTTAGGAAAAGTGTCTCAACTGGTCACGTAACTTGTTTCAGGTTTTCACTGGTCAGCCGAGATAGCACGCCTGACATCTATGTTGTTGATGTTCACTGTTCTTTTTAAAACCCCATTTAGTTAGACAACAATGAGCAATCACTCACTACAGGCATCTTACACAGGGTATGGGTGTATCCCGTCCTCACAAGAAAACCTTGCTTGTACTACTGGGTTACTTGATTAATATCAAAGTAGAACCATCATCTAAGTTACGGCATCTAATTTGCATCCACCGTTTTTTTGTCTGCTTGTTTTGGTTGTAGAAATTAACCCTTTGGTATTTGTTTATACATTGTCTCAAATATTATGTCTTCTGTCCTTACAGACAGTAGCCCAGTCTCATGGCACGCCGTCGAATCGTCTCAGGACAGCTGATGAGTCCTAGGTGGCAGTGTAAGACTGCCGGGTTGAAGCCATAGATCAATGCCCCTTTAACACAGAAACGTTGGTGTTTCAGAACGAGAAGAACGAGTACCTGGAGATGTGCGCTTACCTGAGGAAAAACTGGCACGACCTCCGTCTCAAGTGGAAAAAGAAGGACTATAGCAACGTGGACAGCATCAGCATGCCCTCCAACCTCATCTGGCTCCCCGACATCGTCCCCTACAATAAGTAGGTAGAGTGTTGTATCGTGTACAGTAGACTTGATGTGTACACGGTGTTTCCATCGAGATACAAGGAAAGAACCATGTATACCGAGAAAAACAGATAAGCTCGTTTCACCAAATGATACCATTTTGTGCCAGACTTTTCTCTCTGTCACTGGAATAGATCTAATGACTATTGGCTACAAACAGTAGTCCACAGTAATACAGCAGCGTTCATGTTGTTGATATTGTGTTGAAACGTTTGGTCAAACCAGAAGAGTTTTCCATAAAACTGAAAAAGACTGTACATGTACATCACTGACTGTTGATGCTTCAAACTTAATAACATTTTCAGATTAAAACGTGTTTCCATAAATGACCCACAGGGAATGACAAGAACCACTAACAGTTTCCTGTTCCTAAACGACTAGCATTTCATCCAGGTAGTTTACTATAGGTTCTTGTTGACGGACTTGGCCTTCGCAGGTAATGGTGTAAATACCTCTACTCGCAGCTACCATCAATCTTACCGTCACCAGTCTGGTCAAATAATCACACGTGTAGTAGATGCCAAATATGGAGAAAAATATCGGGAACATCCTGCACCCAACAGTGATGAACGGTTCAAAATCTTGATGCTGTCGAAGCGTATGTCCAAAATGTGACAATCAAAAACCTATTAACCTGTTGAATGTGTTTCGGAGGGGTTAAAGTTTTCTAATTTTATATTATCTCATTTTCTTTCAGTGTTGAATCACAGTTCGACATTGTACAGACTATGGTGCGGGTGTACGCTTCCGGTCACGTGAATTGGATGCATCCGGTACGATTGCGCACATTATGCCAAGTTGACCTCTCCAAGTTTCCATTTGATGAGCAAGTGTGCAGCATACAGTTGTCCAGTTGGACGTACAGCGGGATGGGGATCAACATCAGTTTGTGGGGAGGATCTGCAGACCACGCCATTGACCTGGGTGGAGGGTTGATGAACAGTGAATGGAAGATCATCAGCTCCACCGCCACCGTGAAGCAGACCCACTACTCCTGCTGCCCGGAACCATACCCCGACATGATGGTCACCCTGACACTGAGACGGAGCCCAGCCTACTACGCCCACATATTCGTCATCCCTGCTCTGCTGCTTGGGGTTCTTGTGCCTTTCCAGCTTCTTCTTCCACCGGAGTCGAAAGAGAGGCTCACTTTAGGTAGGATATCCGTCGCTGAGTGAGATGTCATACCGCTAGTCTTTGTAGTGATTGTGTTGTATACAACAAGCATGACGTAGGGGTACATACATGGGAACACCCAGAATGTAGAGGGCTTTAGAAAAACTGATACATATTGAGTTCTTTGGAATAGTGAGTTAAAAAATTATGTATCGGTATTATTTCGGCCTTATAGCGATCTTTGGATCAAATATATTCAGGCGCAGACGAATCTGAGCTAACAAACCTGACCTTTTATATAAACCCAGTGAAATCGATTATAACATTGAATTAAGGAAAACATGGCAAATATGCGGACCTCGCATACGAAATGTCACGCTTACATCTCCTGTACGACTCCTTATTGTTCTCTGGTGCGGTAGGATTGGCATTTCTCTGACTGGTACTGGGAGCTTACCCTTTCAGACCCTCTTGCTAATGCAGAAGGTGTTGTGGGGTCGTCACATCTCAGAGGGTTTCCCTATGCAGCGTATCCTGGGAGAATGTCCCTGCCACTGTCAGGGCTACTTGTAAAGTGCATGGGCCCTGAGCGGATGTTAAGCCTAACCAACTTCACTGTGTCACGATCGCTCAAATCCTCTTTGCTGCGTTTATCTATTTTAAACAGTGTAGTATATATCTAATGCTATTATTTGTGCAGGGTCAGTGTTGATCCTGTCGGTGTTGCTGCTAAGTATGAAGCTGCAGGATGTCCTCCCAGACTCCGTCGCCACCATCCCCGCCATAGGTGAGTGACAATAGCGTGTAGGAATTGACATTATATAGATGGGTGGAGTTTTAGTCCGGTTTATACAGTATTTCAATTAGATCAGTGTCACAATTAGCAATTCCATAGATAAATATTTTCATGGCCAATCCGTACTGGAAACCACGGTCATAGGATTATGACAATCCCTCGAGAAGCAACTAGAATTGAGTGAATCGAAATACATGAATATATAATAGCCTTCCATAAATAAATAAATCCCCTTCGCTACAAGCTGTGACACCCAGAGATGGTGATCAACCAACCCCTACACTACAAGCTGTGACACCCAGAGATGGTGATCAACCAGCCCCCTATACCAGAAGCTGTGACACACAGAGGTGGTGATCAACCAGTCCCCTACACTACAAGCTGTGACACCCAGAGATGGTGATCAACCAACCCCTACACTACAAGCTGTGACACCCAGAGATGGTGATCAACCAGTCCCCTACACTACAACCTGTGAGACCCAGAGATGGTGATCAACCAGTCACATACACTACAAGCTGTGACACCCAGAGATGATGATCAACAAGTCCCCTACTCTACAAGCTGTGACACCAAGAGATAGTGATCAACCAGTCCCTCCACGACAAGCTGTGAGGTCCAGAGATGGTGATCAACCAGCCCCCTATCAACCAGTCCCCCCCTATACTACATGCTGTGACACCCAGAGATGGTGATCAACCAGTCCCCTACACTACAAGCTGTGACACCTAGAGATGGTGATCAACCAGTCCCCTACACTACAAGCTGTGACACCCAGAGATGGTGATCAACCAGTCCCCTACACTACAAGCTGTGACACCCAGAGATGGTGATCAACCAGTCCCCTACTCTACTACAACCTGGTGTGACACCCAGAGATGGTGATCAACCAGTCCCCTACACTACAAGCTGTGACACCCAGAGATGGTGATCAACCAGTCCCCTACACTACAAGCTGTGACACCCAGAGATGGTGATCAACCAGTCCCCTACACTACAAGCTGTGACACCCAGAGATGGTGATCAACCAGTCCCCTACACTACAAGCTGTGACACCCAGAGATGGTGATCAACCAGCCCCCTATACTGCATGCTGTGACACCCAGACATGGTGATCAACCAGTCCCCTACACTACAAGCTGTGACACCCAGAGATGGTGATCAACCAGCCCCCTACACTACATGCTGTGACACCCAGAGATGGTGATCAACCAGCCCCCTATATTACATGCTGTGACACCCAGAGATGATGATCAACCAGTCCCTCCACTACAAGCTGTGACACCCAGAGATGGTGATCAACCAGTCCCCTACACTACAAGCTGTGACACCCAGAGATGGTGATCAACCAGTCCCTCCACTACAACTGTGACACCCAGAGATGGTGATCAACCAGCTGTGAGCTGGGTGTGACACCCAGAGATGGTGATCAACCAGTCCCCTACACTACAAGTCCCCTGTGACACCCAGAGAGATGGTGATCAACCAGCCCCCACACTCTACATGCTGTATACTACAAGCTGTGACACCCAGAGATGCTGTGACACCCAGAGATGGTGATCAACCAGTCCCCTACTACCTGTGACACTACAAGCTGTGACACCCAGAGATGGTGATCAACCAGTCCCCTACACTACAAGCTGTGACACCACAGAGATGGTGATCAACCAGTCCCCTACACTACAAGCTGTGACACACAGAGATGGTGATCAACCAGTCCCCTACACTACAAGCTGTGACACCCAGAGATGGTGATCAACCAGTCCCCTACACTACAAGCTGTGACACCCAGAGATGATGATGTCAGTCCCCTACACTACAAGCTGATCAGAGACCAGTCCCCTACCACTACAAGCTGTGACACCCAGAGATGGTGATCAACCAGTCCCCTACACTACAAGCTGTGACACCCAGAGATGGTGATCAACCAGTCTTCACTACCTGTGACACTACAACCAGTCCCCTACACTACAAGCTGTGACACCCAGAGATGGTGATCAACCAGTCCCCTACACTACAATCTGTGACACCGAGAGATGGTGATCAACCAGTCTCCGCACTACAAGCTGTGACACCCAGAGATGGTGATCAACCAGCCATCTACACTACAACCTGTGCCACCCTAAGTTGGTGATCAACCAGTCCCCTACACAACAAGCCATGTCATCAAGTGATCGCTAGACAAGACTAGCCACAGAAGTGAGCGTTCGTCGTGGGCCACTTAGTGCTGTTTATCAACTTTATGTCTAATGCATCATCTGTAATTGGGAAGCTGAACGGCTCCATGTTTCTAGTTGAACCCATTATCGGTCGTCTGCGGCCGGTTTTTGCTGTTGTATATGGATGGTACAAGTCGTATATCTGAGTCTACCCTGTCGCCGCTGAGCCAATGACTGTGATGTATGACCAGCAGATTCCGACTTGTTGCTAGTGTGTAATGTCAGTCTGTGCGATATGTTATTGGGAAGTACCATGGCGGACGTCGCCTGACAAGAAAGTAGCACCTGTGCCGGTATTAACTATGTAATGGCATGACTAAAACCTGGGTTATGTATTATGCTTGTCAAAGATAATGATCCTCGTGTTTATTGTCAAATCTTTTTTGAAAACATATAGATGTTCTGGCGTCGTTGAAGGTCACTTTTCACATCAATAGGAATTTCTTTTGAAAGCAAAGTAATCTATCTTTCCTGATGCTGCAAAAGCATGTTCAATGAGTAGTTTTTTTGGTTATGTATGTACTATAATCCAGTGTATATAAAGCCGTTATCTAACAGTTTTTGTAACTTGTACACGTATTTCCTTCCTTAACTCGATCAGATTTTAGTTCACGTCCTTTTCGAAATCAGCGAGCTTCCCCCAAACTACACCCTGCAATAACCAGCTCCATAACTCCCCATACATGCAGACGTTTGTCAACACTTGGTAGTTTCCGACATATACAAGGCATTTGTTAATCTGGTGTATATTGTTGCAGAGATGTACTACATGCTGACGCTCATCTGGGTGGTAATGTCAATGCTGTCGTCCATCTGGGTTCTGAACGTGCACAACCGAGGACCACGTCGCGGGAAAGTACCGGACATAATCCGTTGGGTAAATAACATCTTGTCATTCTTTATATTCATGTTTCTTTAAATTTTAGCCACTAACAAGATTTCTTCTGCGGGACTCGGGTTGTTTCATTACAACATTCTATTTGCATAACGTAAAGTTGACATCAGTTCAAATCTTAAAGCGTTGATTACCTTCGATAGTGTCAAGCAACGATACTGACTTACTTAAATGAGGCTATTGGTTTCCTCTGTAATTATTGAGTAACATTACAAAGTAAACTACATCATGTCTTTAACAGGCTCTTGGAGTGCCGTCCCTACTCTTTACATTTTCAAAACTAAAGAGTAAAGAGTTACGATGGTTGTGATGATTTTGTGGGTATTATTCACGTGTTGTATCATTGTAGTCAGGAATGACGCCCGTGTTTAATAACGACCTTGATTGGCAGATCTTCCTCCGGAGTCTGAAACGGCTCGTGTGTCTGGGCAGTGACAACTACTACCCCCTAGACGAGATGGAGACCATTACGATGAGGGGACTGGACAAATCCGCCACCGTCGGGATGTCAAGCCTGGGGGACGGGCCAATGAGCAACCAGGACTCACGACCCCCTACGAAGCTGGAACGCGATGTGGATGAGATACTGAAGCAGGTTCACCTGCTGACTACACGAGCGGCTATTTGCGAGGCTCGACAAGAGATGCTGAGCGAGTGGCACCAGGTAGCCCTCGTCATGGACAGAGTCCTCTTCTTCCTGTTTATGTTGATATTCCTCATGTGTAGCGTTATCCTTCTGACGTAAACAGCTGGCTCATCCACATGTAATCAGTTACACACCCTTATTACATTATATATGGGTATGAGTTGGTAGTTAACGGGTATACTAGCTGTCAGAATAAGAATTCGGTCTTGGATAAAGCTTGACCACTGCGTTCACAATATTGAATCGTATGAAACTATAGGAAGCAGAGAACAGGATTTGAAAACAACACATTTGAATGATATTTAAGTCCTGTCTGACATGATCTCAGGACAGTACTAAATCGTGGTTAGAATCACATAACTATGATCACCTACTCCTGGTCTGTAACACCTGGTCTGTAACACCTGGTCTGTTGAGGTGTCACCACCGTCAAAACACATTCTCAGTAAAATAAAGACCCGAGAACCTGTATCTTCTTTCCCACAGACAAAAGTAAAACCAGGGTGTAGTTATTGGGTGTTCACGAAACACTGTTTATCCTGTTCGTAGGGATCGACTATAAGTGCAGTTAACAAAGAAATGATCTCACCTTCAGGTGCAATCGTCAAGTTCATTTCCAGTACCATATCATCCCTGTTATTGATCGAATAACGGTACCACAGGTTCTAGTTCCAGGGTCATTATCAATGTACATTTGTTTGTAATACACGTGGAACGTGGTGGAACGTCGTCTCCAGCAGTAGTTCCTGTATGAACATAACCTTCAGCTGGAACATGTCAGCTTATGTCAGGAGCAACAGAAATATCCATATATGTGTATGTATTCCTGACCTTCAGCTGGAACGTGTCAGCTTATGTCAGGAGCAACAGAAATATCCATATATGTGTATGTATTCCTGACCTACACTGTGTATATACATGACTGGGACTCCTCTAGCTCGACCTCCAAGCAGGAACAGTTCTATCATCAGTATTGTCGCTGTATATTGGACTCATGTGATATGTATTATGAATATTGTATTGATGCTATTTGTTTTGGATATCAAACTGTATGTGTTACCGTCATAGATTTGACTTGAGATATTTCACGACTATTTATCTCGCTCCATTACCTTGTAAATATCAAGAATACATACTTTTCAACGCTTTCCTGGACAATGTGTCATTCTATTTATGTTACATTTACATAAGTAATCCATTTGGTGTATCACGGCGTATTATGAATGACATCAATGTCAGCTGTTAAATGTGCAGATCATGTCACTGTATAAGTCGTTTTGTATTGGGTTATAACTCACTTGTACCGGCCTTGTCACTAGCCTTGGTGTAAATGTTTTATATAGGTATGCCAAATTAATACTCGTAACAAGAAAATCTAGTTTATATATTATACTATGGCTTTCAGTTTACAATCATCATTTCATTTCATGTTAGACATATATATTGTCACGGTAAGTGATGACAATGGCTATATATCCATCAGTTATGATCACAAGTGGAAAACTTGTATTTCCAAGTATGGAAAGAGCACGGCCTGAACACCAGCCCACAGCTGCTCGTGTATAGCGACACCTAGCAACACATTTCCAAGTAATACAACAAACACAGAGATAGAAGTGCTGATGACCTAGACACGAGTCGATAAGGGTTCGTGTCGGGGGGATTATTTCGTAATCTGTGGACGGGACTGCTATTTTCACGTGATAAAATCCATGTCTGTAAACCGATATTTGTCAATATGTAATTTTCATACTTTGTTATAAGATGAAATGAGTTTTCATTGTAAAACTTTTGTGTATTTGAAACTTTCTCTAAGAAGAAGATATTATCATAACTAAAAATCGACACCTTTCATGTAATCTTTGTTGAGAATGCAACGTTTTCAAAATGAAAGTAGAATTCTGTTTCGTTTGCTTGAAGGTTAAATGTTGTGCACATGTTTCTGGTATTTGCAAACAAATTACTAATTTGGGCAGCCGTAGATGACGTCATATTGTCGTGAGATTAGGGTTATCTCCCCCAAAACGTCGACGATTGCCGATATATAATATGACGGTAAATAGCTTCAAAACTACAAGTTGTAAATAGACGGTTGTTGTGACGTGTGCTCGAATTGATATTTTCTGTACGTTCATGGATATATATAAAGTGTACACCATTGGAATATGGTGTTTTAGAATGGAGGTAATTGCTGCATATTCATTAATAAAAAAACGACAGATGATGGATATTAATTTCCTTCCAATGGCATTTCGTTGGTGCCACATGCGTGAATTCCCATTCAAAAAAAGTAGGGGATATTGGATTTACAAGATTGATAAAATGCAAATGATGAAGCCAAGGAGGAAACAGATGATGACGAAAAATTAAGGGAAAATGTGACAATTTATTCCATTCCTTCGGATACATATTACTTTTTCTCACATGCATTGGCATTGGCCAGTGGTATGCTCGCAAAATGGAATATCCCCTACTTTTTTCTAATGCTATATATTGATATTCTCCGCAATGTCAGTCGGAGGCACGCTCATGGCGATGTCAAACACGCACATTAATAAATTATGCGCCATTTGTTAAGTACATTAAATGAAACCCATACATGATATGTTTATAATGATGACTACGGTAATAGTAGACTTGTGTAAGTGTCAGTGTAACACCATTGTCTGCTAAGATGTGAAGTTCAACACCGTATATCCATGTGTCTGTTGGCTTCGCAGTATTACATATGTCAATACTCTCACCTCGGATATAACGAAGTCTGTATGAAGAATGTTCGGTTATAACGATCCATGTATCAAACCGCAGCAGTCGCAAGTAGCATAATTGCAAGTGGAAAGAACTAACACCGACCAATTTCGACAGAGAAACATAAAGCATATCGGAACGACATAATGCCATTTAACTTTGACATAACGGACGTATTTCGAGGGTTCCTTCAGTTCGTTATATCCAGAGGTGTGTGTTTGTACAGTTGTCATGTTAGATCATTTAACGTTTATACATTCTAGATGTCATTGTAGATGCCGGACGTATAATTTGTTGAGTTGTTAGAAATAAACTTGAAAACCATCAAGAGAGTATGTGCTGCTTCCAAGACACAATAGATAATACACAAGAACGGTACATGAACCACCCTGTACCTCCACCCAGCAGGTTTGTAATTAGCAAATCTCTCTCTCTCTCTCTCTCTCTCTCTCTCTCTCTCTCTCTCTCTCTCTCTCTCTCTCTCTCTCTACGCATGTATGTACTTATTGCGTATCTGCGTGTCTGTATGCTAGTGTGTATTGTTGTGTGTGAGAATATGAATGTATGCGTGCGTGCGTTTGTTTTTAGGTTTAGTATTTCAGAGCTTTACACAGACTTTGAAAAATGGGAGTCATGGTGACTCACAACATCTATTTTGAGGTGAGCACGACATCACTCTAATGACAACACCTTCCTGCGGGTTGGCATCCATTTCGCTTTCAAGAATACATCCTTCCCAACACAAGATTGCTGCTGTTACTATAATGCTAGTTAAAGTATGACTGTCTCCCCCTACATAATATGTTAGGAATCGGGAATCTCTTTTCAAAATGCAGCAATATTAAATTTCCCCGTTTTGTGACAAACAACCCTTCCATTACGGATGAGTAGATTTGGGGAAGAGAAAACGGCGCTTGAACACTGCAATGTAAAACAGACAGTGTGGTTACAGGTTTGGATATTAGAACAAACTCCACCAAGTAATGCGGTTCAGTTGGAAAATGAACTGCTGTACAAAATGACTGTGTCCAGTGAACCTGTGATGCCATCGTTCTTTTACTGTGAGGCTTCAATATCTGGTTAATTTCATTCTTATGAGCGATATGAAAAAGGAAACAAAAGACATGCAATTAAATACATATACAAATATGACTTGAGTAAAACTCATAAACTGCCAGACAAAAGAACTATGTGTTCTGTGAACCTGTGATGCCATTGTTCTTTAAAGAAAGAACTATGTGTTCTAAGAACCTGTGATGCCATTGTTCCTTAAAGAACAATGGCATCACAGGTTCACAGAACACATAGTTCTTTTGACTTTTTCATATTATATATATTTAATATCCCAGTGACTGATTTGATTGACTTGCGTTAAGCTTGACTTGTATGATAATATTTTGAGAGTCTTTTACAAAATTGTTGCGTCAAATACGCAGGAATCATGCGTGGCCCTCAGAATTCACGATGACAATACAACACAAAACAATAAAACTCTATATAAACAAGTGATTTCTGCAGGTGTATAAATATATAAAATATGAGTCCAGATATTTCTTCTTCTCAAATCTCCTGTATATCTGCACAAGATCTTTCGCCGTTCAACGGCTCTTCAGGTGTACAATGAAAGCTCAGATATAAAGGAGATTTGACAAGAAGAAATATCTGACTCATATATATATATATATATATATATGTGTGTGTGTGTGTGTGTATGTGTGTATATATATGTGTGTGTGTATAGATATATATGTGTGTATGTATATATATATATATATATATATATATATATATATATATATATATATATATATATATTATAAACAATGCAGTTCAACAGCTCAAAACTCTGGAAGGAAATTATAGAACAGTGCATTAAATACCAGCATAGTTGATTAGCTTACTCAACACATCTTCAGAACAGCGCGAACGTCTGTAACCCAAGAGCTGTCGAAGATTTATTAACCATGTTGACTCTTTATGACAAGACTCACTCACAGAATATTGCAGCGATCAAGAATGTCAGTCTTCCATCGACCTGCTTACACACGTCTGGTAGTGCCGGGACTCACGGTTGGACTTGTAGAACACAGTCCCTCTTGAGACGCTTGCCGCAGCGGTGAACACACACTTTATTACGGCACTCCGTGACAGTCAGTCACATACAGGTAACTACACACTCTCCATCCTTCACTGCTCGCTGTCTGTCTCCCTACCCTAGAGTAGCCTAGACACTTGAAACACGACCTGGATAAGTCACGGGAAGAACATTACAGAGAAACGATGGATGCACCGGACTTCTACTTGGCACCATATAGTAATCAGTATCATGTCAACGTGTACTCTTACACTGGAACTCAAGGAGAGTCGTTGAGAAGCCATGGGTATATATGTTTCACTGTGTTTGCATATCGTGTGTCGATGCCTGCAATCAATTTACCCTCCTGGAGAATAACTCTACAAGTGTTCCTCTGATGCAGATGTTTGAAAGATGCTGCTTAAGCTACGATAGTTTGTGCTATCTTCATGTAAATAGAACATGCATATACTAAGATAAGTCACATTCTTTACCCAGCCGTATTTATCGACTTCAACAACATTGGTTGCTGTGAAAAAAGATGATAGATAAGTTAGCAAGCATAATACACGTCGATCTGTTTTGTACCGCCATGCATTGACTCCCCGGAGCTAGCTGGTCCCAAAGGGAGATAACCGATAAATGGAAATCTGGCCTCTGCGTTAGACGCTGTTCAATCATGGTGTGCTCCAATTGATCCTTGCTCCTCCAAGCCGCTTACGGGATTTCAGCATGTTCTCAATTGTAGTTATTAAACTTTAGCAGGGCAGCATTACCCTGATGTATTGTGGCCCATCTCTCAAAGTCTGTAAACGTTTGTTGGTCTAGTAGTCAGGTCTTCCGAGGAGATTCCCCAGGGACGCTGAAGACAAATTCCGGCAATTGCATTTGTAAAGTTTACAGCAGTAGATAAACACTGTGAAGCGAAATTAGATAGGAAAAGAAATGTAATTGTAGCAGTTGCGGATTTTCTAATCGCATCCATTATTCG